TATCTAATCTATATCATTCGAATAATCTAAACAAAATTACAAAATAAAATTTAGAATCGAAAAAATCTGAATAGCTCAGTGGAAGAGCAGTCGCTCGGCAAGCGAAAATTCCGTGTTCGATTCCCGATTCAGCGACTTTCGGATCTATATTTTTCTCTTGCATTTATTTATTTTCTGTAGGGGGGTTATAGGATTATTGAAATTAAATCAATCTCAAAAATGAGATTATTTCATATTTTAAATCTTGGCCGTGACCAAGTAAAATTTGATGCCCTGTACACAGATATTTAATTCTAACGAGAAAATTTAGTATTGTTAGGATAACGCACTGTCTCTCCGCGAATGGCTCTTATTGCCTATCTTACACTTTAAAATTTATATTTACAAAAAATATACTTTAGAATTTTTGCGTGCCATTTATGGACGAAAAAATATTTTGATAAAGCACAACCTTAGATGGTATTATCACTCTTTTAAAATGCTTCGAAAACTATTTTTTTCTATTGGCGCAGTCAATTTATAACCGTAAATAAAAATTAAAACATTAGACTTTGTCCTGCGAAATGGCTGTGCATGCGTGCGAGAATATATACAGATTAAACCTCAAATTTCATATTATATTATTGTCAAATTTTACATCTGCTAATTGATTATAAAAAAAAGGACAGTGCTCGGGATATTTTAAAAGTATGCTAAAGCTATCTGAAGTTCTCTGTTTCATCAAAATAACTTTTTATTTACAAATAGCATTGAAATTTTCTCGCATCTGACATCACAATCTAACATAGCCGCGGCGAATATGCAGGAGCCTTAACAAAACACTTTTATTATTAATAAATATTTTTCACGGTAAACTCAAATTTCAAATTTTCATTATATTCGACATACAAATTCCATTCGAATAATTTCTAACCAATTCTTTAATTTATATAACAATTTTATACTTAACGAAAATATCATAATTTATTAATTATAAAATATTGAATATAATAAGAATATATAATAATTAACAAGTTTATATTAATCGTATTTTTTGAATATGGCTAAGTAATCTTGATTCGAATATTTAAAATACTTAAGGGCAAACACATATGCTAACTGACGAATTTTTTGATTTTATTTATGAAACACAATTCTATTCATTGTAATATCTACTTATACTTATACATAAAAATATAGATGAATAATTAAAAAGATGAAATATAGTAATTATCATTGTATTGCTTTCTTTTACCTTTTTGATGTGTTATTGGGAGCTTTGATCAATATTCGGAGTTGGCTGATCATAGCTGCTTATTGCTGATGTACCTACATTTTCTATGTCATTATCAAAACTTCTAATCTCTGGAATATCTGGTAACCTGCTTGAACAAAAATAAAAATTTCTGAATTAATCTATATTATAAAATTTTAAGACACATGCAATTATATTAAATATTCAAACACTAACATTTCTTCCAGTTTTAATATCTGACAATGAGTTGGCAGTTCATAGCTGCTTATTGCTGATGTACCTACATTTTCTATGTCATTATCAGAACTTTTAAACTCTGAAATATCTGATAACCTGCGCACAAAAATAAAAATTTCTAATTTATTTATATTATGAAATTTGGAAGTAGATGCAATTATATTTAAATGTCCAAACACAAACATTTCTTCATAATTATTTAATTCCTGGGTTAGCTGTTGATAGCTGCTTATTGTTGATGTACCAACATCTTCTGTGTTATTATCAGAATTTTTAATCTCTGGAATATCTGGTAACCTGCGTGAACAAAAATAAAAATTTCTGAATTAATCTATATTATAAAATTTTAAGACACATGCAATTATATTTAAATGTTCAAACACTAACATTTCTTCCAGTTTTAATATCTGACAATGAGTTGGCTGTTCAAAGCTGCTTATTGCTGATGTACTTACATTTTCTATGTCATTATCAGAACTTTTAAACTCTGAAATATCTGATAACCTGCGCACAAAGATAAAAATTTCTGAATTAATCTATATAATAAAATTTAGTAGTATATGCAATTATATTAAAATGTTCAAACACAAACATTTCTAACAGATTATATAATTCCTATTTATTCACAATCTATATACTTATCTAAATTGTTATAAATTACAGGAGTATTAAATATAGTAAATAACAAATTTATATATATACAATTCTACTCTTTGTAATATCTATTGTACTTACACATGTACATAAATAAAGTAAATAGACAAATAAATGAAACAAGAAATATAGTAAGTCTGATTTTATTGGTTTTTTTACCTTGGTGATGTGATTTTGAAAGAACTTTGATTAATATTCTGACGTGGCTGCTGATTGCTGCCTCCTGGTTTAGCAATATCCTTGGCATCATTAAAAATTTTAAAAATTTGTAAATTATCTAATAATCTGTACGGAAAAAATAAAATTGATGATTTACAAATAATTATTATATATGTATAAATTTATTATTGTTATAATATATAATTATTAAGCACAAATCATTATTAATAAGAAAAAACTTATTATCGCAACATCTCATAATAAAAGATCGACATATGCGAATACTGTTCGAACAAATAAATTCTTTCACTATTATTTAAACATTCACCACCATCGTTATTTATTGGATAAAAATATTAAATATACTAAACTTTTTTACTGTATTTTAATATAATATAAATTGATATGTGCTATATATTAAATTGCCTCGATATTAAATAATATTATTTATTATAAATACATGTATATCAAATTACTGTTTTTTAATTCATTTTTATATACTCTATACATCATTTTTATTGTAATATATATTTATAATTGCGTTCACAAAAATATATGTAAATAAACGTTAAGATAACGATATACCAAATTTATCAGTGTTTTCTCTTTCTGTATTATATATATATATATTAATATAACATTAATTTTTAATATATTTAATAAACACACAAATGAAATATTATAGTTTTTATAATTTTACTTACATGCAATTCTACTTATTATAGATAAAATTTATTTAGAGTTATTAAATTATAATATTTCTAAACGCGTTTTATAAAAGATAATATAATATTAAAAAATAAAATATATTTTTCTTACTTTTTGATATTAGATGTAAGAGAAATTTGATTGGATGTTCTTTAATAAAATGTTTCATTAAACTAAAATAATTGTCATTAGAAATGTTTTTGCAAGTCTCGCATTCTGATGTTTGAAAACAAATTACATTTTGATACAATTTTAGCCAGTTGACAAAATTATTTATTTGAGCGTAATCAAGTTTATGTTCATTCGAAAAATGATTTTCCAGTTCCTTGTTCTGATCAATACAACGAATAGAACTAATATGTGAACATTTATTGCATTTTGCTTGATTGTTTTCTATAGAAAAAAAGTTCTTTTCTTGTAAAACTTGTAATGGAATCCGTTTTCCATAATCTGTTTTATGTTTATTATATATGTGGCTATTTATAGTTGCGTAATCTACGGTAATAGATAAACGTTTACCACAAATATTGCAATTTGCACGTTCTCTCCTTTTGTTAATAAGTATTTTGTAACAAATTTCCACATCCATTCTTTGCGATTTGCAGTAGACTCCCATAATCTGTATAATAAAGAGTAAAAAATAAAAAAAATAAAAAAATGCTGAATTAATCAATATTATAAAGTTTTGTTTAAATCCTGTGTATAAATTGTACAGTAAATATAATTATGAAACACAATCATTAATAAAACACTTTTAGTATTCGATCGTCTCTCAAAATTCGAATTTGATATTTCCATAAATTAACAATATAAAAATGCTATTCGAGTACAAAAGTTTTCTTTTTCTTATATAATTCACTTTTTATATTTATTCAAAATTTCACTTATATTCAAATTGTCACATATCACTAATTATAAGAGTTTTAAAATACAGTACTCGACAGTATAGTGTTAGACTTGAATCTTTATATCACTTATGATAAATATATGTCAAATATTTATATTTTATGATTTTATTATTTACACACAATTCTACGTATTGTACATAAATTAATTTTTATTTATTTATTTATTAATAATTTAATAAACAAAAAGTAATAACATTAAATTCTTACTTTGTTGGTCTGATCTCCTCAGGTATTTTAATCTCATCATGCACTTGTTCCAAATGAATCATTAAAAATGCTGGTTTATTGGGAATGTCATTATTGCAATGATTGCAGCAGCATGATTTTGCATCCACAATATTTTTGCCAAAATGTTTTTGTAGCCAATTGCAGATTTCTTTTGCTTTATTTATTCCATCTATATGAATATCCGTTATGTGCTTTTGTATATAACGGAACGTTTCGTTTCCTCCAAAATAAATTTGTTCACAAAAATTGCAGTAAACGTCATTATTTTTTATTGCATAAACTTGCGTCGATTCATATGATCTAAAGTTGATTCTTGATAAATTGATAATAGTCCAATAAGATTCCTTATGTTTGAGTATCAAGTGAGATTCTATTAGCTTTAACTGGTCGTCAAGAAGATTATGTTTCCAGGAACAAATATCGCACATTGCCATATTATTTTCTATTGTGCAAAAATTCAGAAACCAATTACTATCTTCTAAGCTTGACGTGTCCATGATATATCTACTTTGTATTATCTGTCGTGCACTACTAACAATAAATACAAAAAGAAAATATTTTAACTAAGCATATAGAAGATATCAGACAGAAAAAAATGAGAAGTCGTGAAAGACTCGTATATACATATAATTTATTGTATAAATGTAAATATCAGAAAGATATTTGTATTTTAACGTGTGTTTTAACAGTTACAGTTTTGTAATCCAATGCCGATAATTCTATAGATTAGAAAAATGAATATAAAAATTATACAGTCACGAAATAATTTACAATAAAATGCGAATGTTTTCAATTTTTAATTTTAAATAAGTTAGCAAAGATTAGTCTTGTCAAAATGACTAAAGTAAATTTTTAAGATTTTATTATCAAAGAATAATATAACATTGCTTTGCGCACATAATTGTATTCGGTTAGATTAAACAAAATGATAAATATATATATATTTATATATATATATATATATAAATATATATATATATATATATTTATTTAATATAAACTGTTAATTAATAATAAAACACTTTTATTAAAACATCTCTCACTTTATTATTATTAAAATATCTCTAACAGAAAACTTGAATTCAATATTCTTATAAATTTGATATATATATATATATTTTTTTTTTTTTTCAAGTACAAATATTCCTGTAGATTTATTAAATTTATATGATTCACAATTTACATTTATTTAATAAATTGTCAAAACTTATTCATTATAAGAAAATTGAACATATGATTAATAAATTTTTATTATCGTATTTTGATATAACAATAGCTAACATAAATTACGTTTTGTCCCAAATATTTAAATTATTTACGATAAAAATATGATAAGCCTACATACTAAATAAATTTTACGACTCAATTCAATTATATTCAATTCTACGTATTTTAATAATTACTTTTATGTATATAAAAATGTAGATAAATGATTTAAATGAAATTATAAAGTAATACAGATTTTATCGTAATTTCCTTTTACCTCGTTAGTGAAATTTTGGATAAATTTTGATCAACATTCTGAACTGGCTGCTGACAGCTTGATGTAGCATTATCTTCAGCATCATCATCAGCATTTGAAATATCTAAATCTTTATCATTTATTAATCTACACGGAATAAAAAATAAAATTTACTAAATTAATCAATATAATAATGTTTTGTTTATATAATGTGTATGTACAATGTATAATTATTAAATATGAATTGTGGTAATTATGGCTTTTTTTGGTACTCGCAACTATGTTAGATTGTAACGTCAGAGGCAAAACATATACTTCAAAATATTTGCGTGCCATTTATAGACAGAAAGATATTTTGATAAGGCACAACATTAGATGGTATTATCTTTTTTAAAATGCTTCGCAAACTATTTTTTCTTTTGGCGCAGTCAATCTTTAACCGTAAATAAAAATTGAAACATAAGACTTTGTCCTGCGAAATAGCTGTGCATGCGTGCAAGAATTAATACGAGTACAGATTAAACCTCAAATTTCATATTATATTATTGCCACATTTTACAACTGCAAATTAATTATAAAAAAGGACAGTGTTCAAAATATTTTAAAAGTATACTAAAGCTATCTGAAATTTCTGTTTCATTAGAATAACTTTTTATTTACAAATAGCATTCAAATTTTCTCGCATCTGACATCACAATCTAACATAGCCGCGGCGAGTACGCAGGAGCCTTAACAAAACACTTTTATTATTAATAAATATATTTCACGGTAAAATCGAATTTCAAATTTTTATTATTTTCGACATATAAATTCCATTCGAATAATTTCTGACCAATTCTTTAATTCATATAACAATTTTATATATAACAAAAATATCATAATTTATTAATTATAAGAATATTGAATATAATAAGAATATTGAATTATAATAAGAATATATAATAACTAACAAGTTTATATTACTCGTATTTTTTGAATATGGCTAAGTAATCTTGATTCGAATATTTAAAATACTTAAGGGCAAACACATATGCTAACTGACGAAATTTTATGATTTTATTTATGCAACACAATTCTATTCATTGTAATATCTACTTATACGTATACATAAAAATATAGATGAATAATTAAAAAGATGAAATATAGTAATTATCATTGTATTGCTTTCTTTTACCTTTTTGATGTGTTATTGGAAGAGCTTTGATCAATATACGGAGTTGGCTGATCATAGCTGCTTATTGCTGATGTACCTACATTTTCTATGTCATTATCAGAACTTTTAAACTCTGAAATATCTGATAACCTGCGCACAAAGATAAAAATTTCTGAATTAATTTATATAATAAAATTTAGTAATATATGCAATTATATTAAAATGTTCAAACACAAACATTTCTAACAGATTATATAATTCCTATTTATTCACAATCTATATACTTATCTAAATTGTTATAAATTACAGGAGTATTAAATATAGTAAATAACAAATTTATATATATACAATTCTACTCTTTGTAATATCTATTGTACTTAAACATGTACATAAATAAAGTAAATAGACAAATAAATGAAACAAGAAATATAGTAAGTCTGATTTTATTGGTTTTTTTTACCTTGGTGATGTGATTTTGAAAGAACTTTGGTTAATATTCTGACGTGGCTGCTGATTGCTGCCTCCTGGTTTAGCAATATCCTTGGCATCGTTAAATATTTTTAAAATTTGTAAATTATCTAATAATCTGTATGGAAAAAAATAAAATTGATATTTACAAATAATTATTATATATGTATAAATTTATTATTGTTATAATATATAATTATTAAGAACAAATCATTATTAATAAGAAAAAACTTATTATCGCTACATCTCATAATAAAAGATCGACATATGCGAATACTGTTCGAACAAATAAATTCTTTCATTATTATTTAAACATTCACCACCATCGTTATTTATTAGATAAAAATATTAAATATACTAAACTATTTTACTGTATTTTAATATAATATAAATTGATATGTGCTATATATTAAATTGCCTTGATATTAAATAATATTATTTATTATAAATACATGTATATCAAATTACTGTTTTTTAATTCATTTTTATATACTCTATACATCATTTTTATTGTAATATATATTTATAAATGCGTTCACAAAAATATATGTAAATAAACGTTAAGATAACGATATACCAAATTTATCAGTGTTTTCTCTTTCTGTATTATATATATATATATATATATATATATATATTAATATAACATTAATTTTTAATATATTTAATAAACACACAAATGAAATATTTTAGTTTTTATAATTTTACTTACATGCAATTCTACTTATTATAGATAAAATTTATTTAGAGTTATTAAAAATAAATTAATACAATTGTCGCTCGTATATTGAAAACAAAGTGATAAATATAAGGCCAACTTATCGAGCTGAATATTCGAGATGTTCAGTCAACTACCATTTATTACATGTATAAATTATAAAATTTTATAATTTATACATGTAATAAATGGTAGTTGACTGAACATCTCGAATATTCAGCTCGATAAGTTGGCCTTATATTTATCACTTTAGAGTTATTAAATTATAATATTTCTAAACGCGTTTTATAAAAGATAATATAATATTAAAAAATAAAATATATTTTTCTTACTTTTTTGATATTAGATGTAAGAGAAATTTGATTGGATGTTCTTTAATAAAATGTTTCATTAAACTAAAATAATTGTCATTAGAAATGTTCTTGCAAGCATTGCATTCTAATGTTTGAAAATAAATTACATTTTGATACAATTTTAGCCAGTTGACAAAATCATTTATTTGAGCGTAATCAAGTTTATGTTCATTCGAAAAATGATTTTCCAGATCCTTGTTCTGATCAATACAACGAATAGAACTAATATGTGAACATTTATTGCATTTTGCTTGATTGTTTTCTATAGAAAAAAAGTTCTTTTCTTGTAAAACTTGTAATGGAATCCGTTTTCCATAATCTGTTTTATGTTTATTATATATGTGGCTATTTATAGTTGCGTAATCTACGGTAATAGATAAACGTTTATCACAAATATTGCAATTTGCATGTTCCTCATTTTTTGTTAATAAATATTTTGTGACAAATTTCCACATCCATTCGTTGTTATTTGCAATACACTTCCATAATCTGTATAATAAAGAGTAAAATATAAAAAAAAATAAAAAATGCTGAATTAATCAATATTATAAAGTTTTGTTTAAATCCTGTGTATAAATTGTACAGTAAATATAATTATGAAACACAATCATTAATAAAACACTTTTAGTATTTGATCGTCTCTCAAAATTCGAATTTGATATTTCCATAAATTAACAATATAAAAATGCTATTCGAGTACAAAAGTTCTCTTTTTCTTATATAATTCACTTTTTATATTTATTCAAAATTTCACTTATATTCAAATTGTCACATATCACTAATTATAAGAGTTTTAAAATACAGTACTCGACAGTATAGTGTTAGACTTGAATCTTTATATCACTTATGATAAATATATTTCAAATATTTATATTTTATGATTTTATTATCTACACACAATTCTACGTATTGTACATAAATTAATTTTTATTTATTTATTTATTAATAATTTAATAAACGAAAAGTAATAACATTAAATTCTTACTTTGTTGGTCTGATCTCCTCAGGTATTTTAATCTCATCATGCACTTGTTCCAAATGAATCATTAAAAATGCTGGTTTATTGGGAATGTCATTATTGCAATGATTGCAGCAGCATGATTTTGCATCCACAATATTTTTGCCAAAATGTTTTTGTAGCCAATTGCAGATTTCTTTTGCTTTATTTATTCCATCTATATGAATATCCGTTATGTGCTTTTGTATATAACGGAACGTTTCGTTTCCTCCAAAATAAATTTGTTCACAAAATTGCAGTAAACGTCATTATTTTTTATTGCATAAACTTGCGTCGATTCATATGATCTAAAGTTGATTCTTGATAAATTGATAATAGTCCAATAAGATTCCTTATGTTTGCGTATCAAGTGAGATTCTATTAGCTTTAACTGGTCGTCAAGAAGATTATGTTTCCAGGAACAAATATCGCACATTGCTATATTATTTTCTATTGTGCAAAAATTCAGAAACCAATTACTATCTTCTAAGCTTGACGTGTCCATGATATCTGTTTTGTATCAGAAATTGTACATTACTGACGGTAAGTACAAAAGAGAAATATTTTAACGAAGAATATAGAAGCTATCAAGCAGATGAAAAAAGAAAGGTCGTGAAAAAACGCGTATATAATTTATTGTATACATATAAATATTTATATTCAGAAACAAATTTGTGTTTCAATAGTTACGGATTTTGTAATCTAGTGCCGATGATCTCATATAATAGATATCTTATATTTTATTATTAAAAATATATTATAATTATTATTTTATCGCAAATATTATTTTAATAACTGCAAATTTTTTCTTTTTCTACTTTTATAGTTAACAATGATTAGTTTTGTCAAAATGATTAAAGTAAATTATCTAATTAATAAAAATAAAAGACAAAATGCCGAATCTATAATATATTATAAAATTTTTATGTATGCTGGAATAATTAAAAAGATGTTTTATTTTGTATTTATTTATATATTTTATTATATTTGCTTATTATTTACAGGGGCTAAACAAAATAATGTGAACACCTGTAAAAAAATATTTATATTTGTTTATTAACAAGATGTTGGGCCATCATTTGCTTTTTTTCAGAGGAATATTGTCTTATTTTTCTGCCAATTTCTTTAAAGATGCTGAAGGAGGAAACCCGCTTTTTCAAAATTGCCTACAGCTCGATGATATTAAGCTATTAAGATGTTAAATATGTTCCCTGGGCAGTTCAATTAAATTATATTTTGAATGCATGCATGTATGTAAACTACTTTTTCGAAAAATCAAACATTCATTACTCAAGAATTGTTTGAACTACAACGCTTATTTAGGATATAAGTAAAATAGTACGATTTTTATTTGTCGTCACTTTTATAAAAATTTGTATTGTGTTTTAGATTTTAATATGTACCTTCAATTTTTCAAAGAATATCTGTAATTGCTCTAACTTTTGTAAATTTTAAAATATTAAACTAAATTCTTTTACATAAATAGCGTAGGTACTATTAAAAGATGATTGATATTGAATTTAAATAAGAATCGGTGAAAGGATTTATTTTTTACAAAATTTTGAATTCTATTTTTTTAATGTAAATTCTCGAATATAAAAACTATTTTATGTGAATTAATGTAATTGATGTAAAAAAGCTTTATGAGCTAAAATTGAAAATCCAGCTTGTTCATGTTGCAAGTTTCGTCTCTTTGCGTTTTCGTTTCGCGATCACTCGTTCTTGAATTCGAGATGAAACTCGTTAACAAACCCGATAAATGGTACATATATATATATATATATATATATATATATATACAGGTGTCCCAGACTTATGGTTAATTATAGATTAATTTTCGAGTTACCAATAATTTTTCAGTTATAAGCGATTGTAAATGAAAGATTTTTCGCAAACTAATAAGCCTTGTGGAAATAAATTATAAACACAATAACATCTTTCAGATAATTTTAAATTTAATTTAATTTACTAAAATTTTAATTTAAAACTTAATCACAAAAATATATGGTAACAAAAATTAGGAGCCTGCAAAAAAGATCACCTTCCTTTTTGAGGAAAAAAAATCGTCTTTAAATAACTGTAAGAATCTCATTAATGAGTAATCTTGTAAAACTGGGACATCTTGTATATGACAGAAAATATGTGTAAATAATTCTTATCTTCAATTTTGGGTTAATAATTTGTCAAACTTATTGATACTATTTACAGACTCTATATTTTATAGAGAAGGAGAAATGAATAATTCAAACAAATAGTCAAAACTGTGTTAAATAAAAGTTATATACAGAAAGAATATTTTTCGTTAAATTTCAAATTTCACTATAAAATTTACACATTTTTAGTAACTTTATTATATGATGGTATGAAGAATATTATATATATTATTCTTCTTAATCTTGCGTTAATAATTCTTCAAAGTTTTCAGACATATTTTATGGATTATATACTCGAAAGAGAAAAATAATTCAAGTAAATAGTCAAAATTATATATTATACAGTACCCTTCACAAGTTTGGATACACTTTACATTTTACAGTTGAACAATCGCATGGCAGCGATCTGTCATAAATAAAAATGTTATTCAAATATTTTACGATTTATTAGTACAAAAAATCTACACAGATCGTTACCATACGATTGTTTAACTGTAAAATATAAGGTGTTTTTAAATTTATAAAGGGTACTGTATATTGAATAAAAATTATATACACGGAGACATTTTTTCATGATATTTTAATATTAGAGGTTTTTGCGTTTCTAATTTGTTGATGATCGATACATATACTATATGTTACAAATAATATAAAATTATTGCAATATGTTTTAAATAAAAAATATATGTATAGCATTATTAAGCATATACGATAATATATAGATATATACATACATTAATACAATTTTTTAATTTATCATATATAGTATATATCTTTTTAATTATGCCAACATATATAGAAATTTATTATAATTTTTGATAGATTTCGCATTTTGTTTTTTATTTTTGATTAATTTGATCATATATTCTATTTGTATAGACAGCAATAATTTTTGTTAACGTAAAAAGTAGAAATTGGAAACATTCGCATTTATTGTAATATTTGTGATTATATAATTCTTTAACTTCTTTTCATAACTTCTTCTAGATTATTTCAGCATTGCATTACAAAAACAGTGACTATTAAAACACGTTGAAGCACTAATTTGTCTTCGTATATATAAATATTTACATTTTTACAATAAATTATATACGCGTTTTTTCACAACCTTTTATTTTTTTTGTTTGATATCAAGCTATATTCTTTGTTAAAATATTTTTGTAATAGAAGGTGTTTTTACTTGCAATGTATATAAATTTTCATCACTATTTATAGAATTTTTATTATAATTCAAAAAATTAATTTTTTTATATATACCGATTGATTATGTCAATGGGGAAACAATTGTTTCGTAAAATCTTTTTAATTGTCCGTATTTTTTCTTTCTGAAACCGTTTATCGGTAGATCTTGCAATATTATTATCTAATTCACACTTATCTAAATTGTCGCAATTTATCTATTATAAGAATATTGAACATACTAGAATTAAGAGATATTTATTACTGTATTTTAATATAATATTGGCCATGAAAAATTATGTTTTGTCCCGAATATTTAAATTGTTTACGATAAACATTTAATGAGCTTACATATTATATAAATTTTATCATTCAATGATCTACGCAGAATAAAATAATAAAATTTACTGAATAAATCAGTAATAAAATGTCTAGTTTGAATAATGTGTATGTATAATGTATAATTATTAAAAATAAATTGTTATTATGATTCTTTTTGGTACTTGGAGCAATGTGAATTGTAACGTCAGATGTAAAAAATATACTTAAAAGTTTTTGCGTGCCGTTTTCAGACAAAAGATATTATGATAAAGCACAAAATTAAATGGTTTTATCACTTTTTTAAAATGCCCCAACAATTATTTTTTCCCTTGACAATCAATCTGTAACCGTAAATAATAATTAAAACATCAGACTTTGCTTTGCGAAATGGCTATGCATGCGTGCGAGAATATGTACAGATTAAATCTCAAACTTCATATCATATTATAATCATTTTACAACTGCACATGACTACTGATCATTTGACCACTGATCACGTGTCCATCGGACCCGCATTCGTGAATCAGTCTCGCGCGAGCCGGGCAGCATTACGGAGTATGGGGCATGGAGTTTCGCGCGAGTTTAATGAAAGTGTAGATATTTAATCAGAAAAGATTCTTGTACTAAATTTTATTTCTTCGTTCGTATTTTCTGTAAAAGATTAAATATTGAATTTTTATGCGTTGCATAAATAATTAATATATTTTTTAGGCATTGATTGCAATAATAATTTTTGTATGCACGCAATTTTTGATATTTTATTATTAATGAATAATATAACTTCGCTTTGCATGCGTAATTATATATGGTTATATTAAACAAAATGATACGTACATGTATATATATATATATATATATATATATATATATATATGCTACATAAAAGTATTTATAAGAAAATTGTATTTCCACAAAAATATACCCCGACAAACGTACCCCGTCAAAGGAACTCGGAAATTCGGCGAATATCTATTATGTAGATAATTTTAATTCGTCGAATTTTATATTACAGTTCATAGAATAATTTCTATATTATAGTTCATAATTTTGATTCGCCGAAATTCCATATCATGAAATTTTAATTCGCTGTATGTTGATTATGTGCATCATCATAATTCTTAATTTTACAATATGTATATAATTTTGATTTGTCGAATTTTTATTATGTACACGAAGAATCTATTTATGTAAACAATATTTGTTCGCTTTCTCAAAAATAAAAATTAGAACCACCACGCATATTTCACACAAAATTCAGAATTTTATCTTGAAAATGAAACTTTCGACCGAACCTCGTCAAATTCATTCGTTATAATTTAATACACATTTAATTACATAAAAAATACACAAAATTTAATACACATCCAAATCAATCGTTTTAATTTAATACACATTTAGTTACATAAAAATACACAATATTAATACACATTCAATTATTTTTAATTTCATATTTTATTATATCCGTAATAGCAAGCATCCTAATTTTAATTACCATTTCATATTCCTTAAGGAAAATAATTTGGCCATCATTGTTAGTAATTAAGTCTTCATTCAAACTTGTCATCGTCACTTAATCTGCACAGAATAAAAATAAAATTTGTTAAATTAAACGATTTTATACATGTCTTGATTGAATGATGCGCACAATGTATAATTATTTAAATATAAACTGTTATTTAATAACAAAGCACTTTTATTGAAACATCTTCCACAGAAAAACTTGTATTCAATATTCTCATAAATTCGATATATAAATATTTTTCAAGTATTAACATTCCAACCAAATTATACAATTCATATAATTTTCTACAATTTACATTTATCTAAATTGTCACAACTAATCAATTACACGAATGTTGAACATAGTAAAATTAACGAATTTGTATTATATTGTATTTTGATATAATTTTGGTTACCAAAAATTATGTGTTGTCTGAAATATTTAATTATTTACAATAAACATATAATAATTGTATCTAAATTTTATGATTTTATTCAATTATACACAATTCTACTTATTTTAATATTCACTTTTATGTATATAAAAATGTAGATAAATGATTGTAAAGAGATGATATACTACATATATACAATACACAGTAATACAGATTTTATCGTAATTTTCTTTTACCTCGTTAGTTAAATTTTTAGGGAATTTGGATCAATACTCTAAAATGATTGCTGACAGCTTGATGTAGCATTATTTTCAATATCATCATCATCACTCGAAATATCTAAATCTATATCATTTAATAATCTAAACAAAATTACAAATAAAATTTACTGAATTAATCAATATTATAATGTCTTGTTTAAATAATGTGTATGTACAATGTATAGTTAATAAATATAAATTGTGTTAATTATGGCTTTTTTGGTACTCGCAGCTATGTTAGATTGTAACGCCAGAAGCAAAAATATACGAATAAGAGTTTAACACGGCTCTGTAACAGAGAAAAGTATAGAATCGAAAAAATCTGAATAGCTCAGTGGAAGAGCAGTCGCTCGGCAAGCGAAAAGTCTCGGGTTCGATTCCCGATTCAGCGACTTTCGGATCTATATTTTTCTCTTGCATTTATTTATTTTCTGTAGGGGGGTTATAGGATTATTGAAATTAAATCTCAAAAAATGAGATTATTTCATATTTTAAATCTTGGCCGTGACCAAGTAAAATTTGATGCCCTGTACACAAGATATTTAATTCTAACGAGAAAATTTAGTATTATTAGGATAACGCACTGTCTTCCGCGAATGGCTCTTATTGCCTACCTTACACTTTAAAATTTATATTTACAAAAAATATACTTTAGAATTTTTGCGTGCCATTTATAGACGAAAAGATATTTTGATAAAGCACAAACCTTAGATGGTATTATCACTCTTTTAAAATGCTTCGAAAATTATTTTTTCTATTGGCGCAGTCAATTTATAACCGTAAATAAAAATTAAAACATTAGACTTTGTCCTGCGAAATGGCTGTGCATGCGTGCGAGAATATATACAGATTAAACCTCAAATTTTATATTATATTATTGTCACATTTTACATCTGCTAATTGATTATAAAAAAAAGGACAGTGCTCGGGATATTTTAAATGTATGCTAAAGCCATCTGAAATTCTCTGTTTCATCAAAATAACTTTTTATTTACAAATAGTATTCAAATTTTCTCGCATCTGACATCACAATCTAACATAGCCGCGGCGAGTATGCAGGAGCCTTAACAAAACACTTTTATTATTAATAAATATTTTTCACGGTAAACTCAAATTTCAAATTTTCATTATATTCGACATACAAATTTCATTCGAATAATTTCTAACCAATTCTTTAATTTATATAACAATTTTATACTTAACGAAAATATCATAATTTATTAATTATAAAAATATTGAATATAATAAGAATATATAATAATTAACAAATTTATATTAATCGTATTTTTTGAATATGGCTAAGTAATCTTGATTCGAATATTTAAAATACTTAAGGGCAAACACATATGCTAACTGACGAAATTTTCTGATTTTATTTATGAAACACAATTCTATTCATTGTAATATCTACTTATACTTATACATAAAAATATAAATGAATAATTAAAAAGATGAAATATAGTAATTATCATTGTATTGCTTTCTTTTACCTTTTTGATGTGTTATTGGAAGAGCTTTGATCAATATTCGGAGTTGGCTGATCATAGCTGCTTATTGCTGATGTACCTACATTTCTATGTCATTATCAGAACTTTTAAACTCTGAAATATCTGATAACCTGCGCACAAAAATAAAAATTTCTGAATTAATCTATATATAAAATTAGTAGTATATGCAATTATATTAAAATGTTCAAACACAAACATTTCTAACAGATTATATAATCTTATTTATTCACAATCTATATACTTATCTAAATTGATAAATTACAGGAGTATTAATATAGTAAATACAAATTTATATATATACAATTCTACTTTTTGTAATATCTATTGTACTTATACATGTACATAAATAAAGTAAATAGACGAATAAATGAAACAAGAAATATAGTAAGTCTGATTTTATTGGTTTTTTTACCTTGGTGATGTGATTTTGAAAGAACTTTGGTTAATATTCTGACGTGGCTGCTGATTGCTGCCTCCTGGTTTAGCAATATCCTTGGCATCATTAAATATTTTCAAAATTTGTAAATTATCTAATAATCTGTACGGAAAAAAATAAAATTGATAATTTACAAATAATTATTATATATGTATAAATTTATTATTGTTATAATATATAATTATTAAGCAAAATCATTATTAATAAGAAAGAACTTATTAACGCAACATCTCATAATAAAAGATCGACATATGCGAATACTGTTCGAACAAATAAATTCTTTCACTATTATTTAAACATATTTATTCATTACCATCGTTATTTATTAGATAAAAATACTAAATATATCAAACTTTTTTACTGTATTTTGATATAATATTAATTGATATGTGCTATATATTAAATTGCCTCGATAATAAATAATATTATTTATTATAAATACATGTATAACAAATTTCTGTTTTTAATTTATTTTTATATACTCTATACATCATTTTATTGTAATATATATTTATAATTGCGTTCACAAAAATATATGTAAATAAACGTTAAAATAATGATATACCAAATTTATCAGTGTTTCTTCTTTCTGTATTATTATATATATATATATATATATATATATATATATATATATATAAATAATAAACATTTTAATATATTTAAGAAACACATAAATGAAATATTTAGTTTTTATAACTTTACTTACATACAATTCTGCTCATTATAGATAAAATTTATTTAGAGTTATTAAATTATAATATTTCTAAACGCGTTTTATAAAAGATAATATAATATTAAAAATAAAGTATATTTTTCTTACTTTTTGATATTAGATGTAAGAGAAATTTGATTGGATGTTCTTCAATAAAATGTCTCATTAAACTAAAATAATTGTCATTAGAAATGTTCTTGCAAGCATTGCATTCTAATGTTTGAAAATAAATTACATTTCGATACAATTTTAGCCAATTGACAAAATTATTCATTTGAGCGAATCAAGTTTATGTTCATTTGATAAATGATTTTCCAGTTCCTTGTTCTGATTCAATATAACGAATAGAACTATATGTGAACATTTATTGCATTTTGCTTGATCGTTTTCTATAGAAAAAAAGTTCTTTTCTTGTAAAACTTGTAATGAAATCCGTTTTCCATAATCTGTTTTATGTTTATTATATATGTGGCGATTTATAGTTCGTAATCTACGGTAATAGATAAACGTTTATCACAAATATTGCAATTTGCATGTTCCTCATTTTTTGTTAATAAATATTTTGTGACAAATTTCCACATCCATTCTTTGCGATCTGCAGTATACCCATAATCTGTATAATAAAAAGTAAAAAATAAAAAAAAGTATAAAAAATGCTGAATTAATCAATATCATAAAAGTTTGTTTAAATCGTGTGTATAAATTGTACAGTAAATATAATTATGAAACACAATCATTAATAAAACACTTTTAGTATTTGATCGTCTCTCAAATTCGAATTTGATATTTCATAAATTAACAATATAAAAATGCTATTCGAGTACAAAAGTTCTCTTTTCTTATAATTCACTTTTTATATTTATTTAGTATTTTACTTATATTCAAATTGTCACATATCACTAATTATAAAAGTTTTAAAATACAGTACTACGACAGTATAGTGTTAGATTGAATCTTTATATCACTTATGATAAATATATGTCAAATATTATATTTTATGATTTTATTATTTACACACAATTCTACGTATTGTACATAAATTAATTTTTATTTATTTATTTATTAATAATTTAATAAACAAAAAGTAATAACATTAAATTCTTACTTTGTTGGTCTGATCTTCTCAGGTATTTAATCTCATCATGCACTTGTTCCAAATGAAAATTAAAATACTGGTTTATTGGGAATGTCATTATTGCAATGATTGCAGCAGCATGATTTTGCATCCACAATATTTTGCCAAAATGTTTTTGTAGCCAATTGCAGATTTCTTTTGCTTTATTTATTCCATCTATATGAATATCCGTTATGTGCTTTTGTATTATAATGGAACGTTTTGTTTTCTCCAAAATAAATTTGTTCACACAAAAATTGCAGTAAACGTCATTATGTTTTATTGCATAAACTTGCGTCGATTCATATGATCTAAAGTTGATTCTGATGAATTGATAATAGTCAAATAAGATTCCTTATGTTTGCGTATCAAGTGAGATTTTATTAGCTCTATCTGGTCGTCAATAAGATTATGTTTCCAGGAACAAATATCGCACATTGCACTATTATTTTTATTGTGCAAAAATTCAGAAGAAACCAATACTATCTTCTAAGCTTGACGTGTCCATGATATATCTACTTTGTATTATCTGTCGTGCACTACTAACAATAAATACAAAAAAGAAAATATTTTAACTAAGCATATAGAAGATATCAGACAGAAAAAAATGAGAAGTCGTGAAAGACTCGTATATACATATAATTTATTGTATAAATGTAAATATCAGAAAGATATTTGTATTTTAACGTGTGTTTTAACAGTTACAGTTTTGTAATCCAATGCCGATAATTCTATAGATTAGAAAAATGAATATAAAAATTATACAATCACGAAATAATTTACAATAAAATGCGAATTTTCAATTTTTAATTTTAAATAAGTTAGCAAAGATTAGTCTTGTCAAAATGACTAAAGTAAATTTTTAAGATTTTATTATCAAAGAATAATATAACTTGCTTTGCGCGCATAATTGTATTCGGTTAGATTAAACAAAATGATAAATATATATATTATATATATATATATTATATAATATATATAATATATATATATATATATTTATTTAATATAAACTGTTAATTAATAATAAAACACTTTTATTAAAACATCTCTCACTTTATATTATTAAAATATCTCTAACAGAAAAACTTGAATTCAATATTATAAATTGATATATATATATATATTTTTTTTTTTTTTTCAAGTACAAATATTCCTGTAGATTTATTAAATTTTATGATTCACAATTTACATTTATTTAATAAATTGTCAAAACTTATTCATTATAAGAAAATTGAACATATGATTAATAAATTTTTTATTATCGTATTTTGATATAACAATAGCTAACATAAATTACGTTTTGTCCCAAATATTTAAATTATTTACGATAAAAATATGATAAGCCTACATACTAAATAATTTTACGATTTAATTCAATTATATTCAATTCTACGTATTTTAATAATTACTTTTATGTATATAAAAATGTAGATAAATGATTTAAATGAAATTATAAAGTAATACAGATTTTATCGTAATTTCCTTTTACCTCGTTAGTGAAATTTGGATAAATTTGATCAACATTCTGAACTGGCTGCTGACAGCTTGATGTAGCATTATCTCAGCATCATCATCAGCATTTGAAATATCTAAATCTTTATTATTTATTAATCTACACGGAATAAAAAATAAAATTTACTAAATTAATCAATATAATGTTTTGTTTAATTAATGTGTATGTACAATGTATAATTATTAAATATGAATTGTGGTAATTATGGCTTTTTTTATACTCGCAACTATGTTAGATTGTAACGTCAGAGGCAAAACATATACTTCAAAATATTTGCGTGCCATTTATAGACAGAAAGATATTTTGATAAGGCACAACATTAGATGGTATTATCTTTTTTAAAATGCTTCGCAAACTATTTTTTCCTTTGGCGCAGTCAATCTTTAACCGTAAATAAAAATTGAAACATAAGACTTTGTCCTGCGAAATAGCTGTGCATGCGTGCAAGAATTAATACGAGTACAGATTAAACCTCAAATTTCATATTATTTATTGCCACATTTTACAACTGCAAATTAATTATAAAAAAGGACAGTGTTCAAAAATATTTTAAAAGTATACTAAGCTATCTGAAATTTCTGTTTCATTAGAAAACTTTTTATTTACAAATAGCATTCAAATTTTTTCGCATCTGACATCACAATCTAACATAGCCGCGGCGAGTACGCAGGAGCCTTAACAAAACACTTTTATTATTAATAAATATATTTCACGGTAAAATCGAATTTCAAATTTTTTTATTTTCGACATATAAATTCCATTCGAATAATTTCTGACCAATTCTTTAATTCATATAACAATTTATATATAACAAAATATCATAATTTATTAATTATAAGAATATTGAATATATAAGAATATGAATATAATAAGAATATATAATAACTAAAGTTTATATTACTCGTATTTTTGAGTATGGCTAAGTAATCTTGATTCGAATATTTAAATACTTAAGGCAAAACACATATGCTAACTGACGAAATTTTATGATTTTATTTATGAAACACAATTCTATTCATTGTAATATCTACTTATACGTATACATAAAAAATATAGATGAATAATTAAAAGATGAAATATAGTAATTATCATTGTATTGCTTTCTTTTACCTTTGATGATGTTTATTGGAAGAGCTTTGATCAATATTCGGAGTTGGCTGATCATAGCTGTCTTATTGCTGATGTACCTACATTTTCTATGTCATTATCAGAACTTTTAAACTCTGAAATATCTGATAACCTGCGCACAAAATAAAAACTTCTGAATTAATCTATATTA